CACGCCACACGCCGCACGCCGCACGCCGCACGCACGCACGCACGCACGCACGCACGCACGCACGCACGCACGCACGCACGCACACACACACACACACACACACACACACACACACACACACACAGTACACACACACAAATAACAGGATTCCCCATATTTTCCCATATCTTATGGGCTTTTGTCTTCCACCCCACTTCCCATAGTTTCCCATCTTTTCCTGGGAGTCGACGATTCATTGTGTCTGTGTGTTTTTCCCCCCCTCACAGAATGGGTGGGGGGGAAGGCAGGTGCCCTTCTCGGGCCCTCAAGGGCTCCCCTTTGGGCCCGAGAGGGCCCCTGCAGGGATCCTGAGGAGCCCCTTCTCGGCAGCCCTCCCTGCCCCCCCCCTGGGGCGGATTTCGGAACCCCGGAGCCCCAAAAACGTTTTCATCTCTTGGGGGGTGCATCTTTTGCCTCCGCCGCCTTCCGCCGACCTTCCGCCGACCTCCGCCGGCGGAGGCGGCCTCGTTTCACTTCCGCCGCCCTTCCAGCGCGTCTTCCGCGGCGGAAGAGATGACAACTCCTTCGACCCTCGAGGGCAAGGCCCTGCTTGGAGTGCTCCTTTTGACGCGCCCCCCAACCAGGAGCTGCCTCAGCTATCTTCTTCTAGCCGGCGGCGCTGGCGGACGCAGGCGCGGGGGCCGGTGCCCGCGGGACGCGCCGGGCGCGGGGCACGAGGGCGGTTTTGGAAAAGAGGAAGATGGCCGCGGAGGCGGAAACATGCGGCCAGCCTGGGGAGGGGGGAGTGAGAGGGGGCGGCCCTTCTCAGAGGGCTCGGGGAAGTTTCCTGGACTTGCCCTGGGGACGCCAACAACTTCTCAGAAGGCCCGAGGGCTTCTGAGGAGCCCCGCGGCCTTCTGGGAGGGCCTTCTCCTTTCATCTCCCCCCCTCGCTCTCCGCCGAGGAGGAGGAGAGAGCCCCACCGTCGAGAGTCGACGGGGCGGGGACTCGCGCTGGCTCGGCTGTGCGCGCAAGGGGAGTGACCCTGTGCAGGAGTGGCCTTTGGTGCGCGGCGAGCTGGGACTGCGGCGGCTGGGGGGGAGGATTAATCCAAGTGCGGCGCGCGCAAGCCGTTGCTGTCGCATCACGTTCCGCGGCCGGGGGGCCCAAGCGGGCTCACAGCAGCGGTCACTCCGGTGAAGGGTAACTCCTGCGTGTACGGTCGGGGACTTTTGCTTGGCATGTCGCGGCAGCGGCGACCCGCCATGCCATGTAAGCGCATGGCGTGTCGCTCCGCTCCGCGGGGCGGGATGCCGGGAAGGGCTCGGGACGCTGACGCCTGGCAAGTAGAAGATTGATAGCGCGTCGCGCCGAAGCGCGGTGGGCCAGAACTCGGCTATACGCAAGAGTGTTGTGGATGCCACGGCAATGGACACCCTAACAGTCCCATCATTGACTTTTACATGTGTTCAGGATGTTGGAACATGTTCGAAACATGTCTTAAGTATGTTTTCACGTGCTTACGACATGCTTAGCACATGCTTTAGGCATCGGGAAAGTGTTTGGCAGCATGCTTCATTGAACGTTAAATGTGTTTAAGGTGTTGGGACATGTTCTTAACATGCTTTACGTGTGTTTTTCACATGCTTAAGACATGTTTAACACACGTTCTAGACATAGGGAAAGTGTTTGGCAGCATGCTCCCTCTCCATTGATCGTCCCCCACAGCTATACGCAAGAGTGGCCCCTGGCCATCGCTCGGACGTCCATTCCCTGTGCTTTTTTCGGCTTCGTGCGTGTTTGTTTTCGCCAGATGATCAAGGATTCTCCTCGATGGTCCTCGCCGAAGGTAAAATGCACACGTCCGAGCGATGCCAAGGCCCTGGGTTAGAGTGACCCTTGGTGCGCGCCTCTTTGGGGGGCCGCGGGCGGGGCCACAAACACAGGCGCGCGAGGCGCCGCTGCCGCGCCTCGCGCTCGGCGATCGCGGGGGACGCCAGTGGGCCCGCAGCAGCGGTCGCTCCAGCGGAGGGCCCCTCTCACGTGTGCAGTAGGTGGGCGGCGCGCACAAGGGGGTGGGGGGAGGGGGGGGGGCTTCTCAGGAGCTGCTTCTCAGAGGGCGCCGGCCCTAAACATCCGTAGAGCAGGCCCGCGCCTTCTAAGAAGCAGGGGTGCCTCTAAGAGGCCCTCCCCCCTCCCCCCACCCCCCCTTCTGCGCGTGGCGGAGTGGGAGCTCGCACGCACGATGCCTTCCACCGGAAGCCCAGCCCCGGAGCCCGAGGCCGGCCATGGAGAGATTTGCTGTGGGAGCGCCACGCTCTCTCTCCGCTGCGGAGCCCTCGGAGCCCAGGAAGCCCAGGGCACCCCCTCGAGGCCAGCAGGGTGCCTCTCGGCGTGGGCTTCCTCCGCAACGGGATCAGAGCCCCCCCCCCTCCCGAGCCCCCCCGCTGAGCCCGCAGTGGCCCTCGCTCGTGCCGGCCCGATCCGTGTCTGTGCGGCCTGGACGCTGTGCCCTCCGGAGCCTGGCGGTGGCCTTCTGGCCTCTCTTCCGCCTGCGCCTGCTCCCGCGTGTAGGGGGGGGTGCTGCTCCCCCTCTGCGCGAGGCGGGCTGCGGCGAGGAGCCTGCTGCAGTCGGCGCCGCTGGCTCCAGGGGGGGGGAACTTCGGCCTGGGATCGGCGATGCGTCGCCGGCAGATCGGCTCTGGCGTGTGTTCGAAGAGCCGGCAGAACGACACGCCGGCAGAAGTCTCGGGCATACTTCGACTCTGTGGAAGGATTGAGGCGGGCCTGTCCCTCTGCAGGGGGGAATATCCACAACTAGTCCAAAAATCATATGGGGACGTTTTTTTTTTGGTTTTGCATTTTTGGATGTTTTTGGGGTCTTGTTTGGACAATGTTTAAAATGTTTCGTCCAGAACCCCCCTGTCGGAGGACAGGCCCGGCTCTGCGGGGAAGGACGAGGCGGGGCCCCCCCTTCGCTCTGGACGCCCGACGTGGGCACGGCAAGAAGGGGTACACCTGCCAGCAGCAGTTCCTGTCCATTTTGAACAGGACTCGCCGTCCACGCCGCCGCGGCCTGCCCATTTGAGACAGAGGGCAGTTCCTGTTCATTTTGAACAGGACTCGCCGTCCACGCCGCCGCGGCCTGCCCATTTGAGACAGGGGGCCGCCTGCCCAACAGCGGCCGCTGCTGGTTTGGGACAACATCTGTTGCTGGGCATTGTGCCCATTCTCTTCCGGGCGTGTTCTTGTTCGCCAGATGGTCGAGGATGCTCCTCGAAGGTCCTCGCCGAGAAAAAAAACGCACGCGTCCGAGCGATGCCAAGACTTCGCGAGGGCGGCGGCGGCACCCCCTTCTCGGCGGTGGACAAACCTCCCTTTAGTAGACCTCCCCTCAGTGAAAACGGCCTGGGACCGAAGCCGACGGACCTGGACCCGCAAGAATGACGCCGCGACGCCCTCTCGCGAACCGAAAACGGCCAATTCGCTAATCGACGCGTCAGGGTACTCCAGATTTTGTAATAAAGGGAGGGGGTCTCATTTCGGGGGGGGGTCTCTTCCAGGCCATCTTGGAGGGCCTGGGGGGGTCTGGGGACGATGTTTTGGAGGGTTCTCCCACGGGGGGGGGGTCTAAAACTTCTCGTCTGGGAGGGTTGAGACCCACTCCCTTTTATTACGAAATCTGGAGTAGGAGGTCTGTCCACCCCCGACCTTCGCGAGGGGCGGCGGCGTCCCGCGAGCCGGCGCGGACGAGGTGCAGGTCCTCCGGGCACCCCTCGAGCGCGAAGCGGGCGCGCCCGAGCGCGTCCTGCGGCCGCGCGCCCGTGGGCGCGCAGCGGCGGCGGGAGGCGCTTTACAGTCGGGCCGCTGTCACAGGGAGCCCCAAAATGAGGAACGAGGGCCCTTTTTTTCCAGAAAGAAAGAACGAGGAACCCTAAATAAGGAACCCTAAATAAGGAACCCTAAATAAGGAACCCTAAATAAGGAACCCTACATAAGGAACCCTAAGTAAGGAGCCCTAAGTAAGGAACGAGGGCCCTTTTTTTCCACAAGTTGAACTTCGAAGGCCTCGGACTTCATTGAACAGGACACGCGAGATGACAAAAGACCCTTCCGAGGGCCACATTGTCATAGGAATGCAGGAGGCACGGGTCGCGAGACACAGGACACAAGGGTACCCTAAATAAGGAACGAGGGCCCTTTTTTCCATAAGTTGAACTTCGATCTCCCATAGAAGCCTCAAGAAGGCCTAAGACAAGCTGCAAGACCAATTGAGGAGTACGGAGCCCCTCCCCAGCAAGAGGGTTCTTACTTCAGCGGCCCGACTGTAATGGGGGGGCGATGGAATAAAGGCTCGGCTACAAGGAACCTTCCACAAGAAGCCGAACCCTGTGGACCCCCCAGGACGTCCATGTATTTGTGGTGTGGGGACGCCACGCTGTCCACTGCAAAACCATGGAAACCCAAGAAACCCAGGGCAACCTGGAACAAAACAGGATGTTGCTTGGCATGGGCCTCGACTGTACATGTTGGACGCCCGAAATGGGTACGGAAAGAATGGGCACAATGCCCAACAACACATGTTGCCCCAAACCAGCAGCGGCCGCTCTTGGGCAGGCGGCCTCCTGTCTCGAATGGACACAGGCCGCGGCGGCGTGGACGGCGAGTCCTGGCCAAAACGAACCAGATCCGCTGCTGGGCATGGTGCCCACTCTTTCCGTGCCCATCTCCTCCGTGCAGGGTTACGTGGGGTCGGGAGAAAAGGTGCACCTCTCGGGCCCTCGAGGCCCTCTCTCTCGGGCCCGACGGGGCCCCCTTGAGGCAAGGGCTCCCAGCTTCGCGCTCCGCGCTGCGCGAGAGCGCGAAGTGCGAATAGCTTCGCGCTCCCGCGCCGCCTCCCGCAGGAGAGGGAGGAGGACGAGGCGGCATTCGGAGCCGAACCGCGCGGCGCGACGCGCGACCGACGTCGCGCCCTCGAGGGGGCGCCCCTGTCGATGTTCAGCCCTTGCTGCCCCCCCCCCCCCTGCTGGCACGCACCCCGAGGCTGGAAAACCTATGAGAACCGACGAAAACATCCGAAAACCTGGATGCAGCGAAGGGTCACTGCGATGAGGGCCCGCACCAAAGGCCACTCTGGTAACGGGTCGCTCTCATCCGTGGCCGATGTCAGGCCTCCCCGCCCCCCCATTGGCGCGGGGCCCCGAGGGCGGCGCCCTGCCCGCGGCCCTCCGGAGGAGGCGAGGCGTGCAACCCTCGGGTCCGTCGCGCGCCATGCGCCGGCTGCAGGCACAGGGGAGGCCCCCCCGAGCCACAAACACTTCGCCGACACTTATATGTTGCTCCCAGCCTACTTGAGGACCACATCCCAGAAACGATTTCGAGCGTGCAACCCTCGGGTCCGTCGCGTGCCATGCACCGGCTGCAGGCACAGAGGAGGCCCCCCCCGAGCCACAAGCACTTCGCCGACACTTCCAGTCGGGGCCTTGACCTAAGGAACCCAACATAAGGAAAGAGGCACCTTTCTTTTCCATAAGCTAAACTTCGACTTCCGATCGAAAACGTAGGGACAACCTGAGGCCAGCTGTGAAATACTCAAGGGACGCGGAGCCCCTCCCCAACGGAAAGGGTTCCTTCTTCAGGGCCCCGACTGCATGCTGCCCCCATCCTGCTTAGGGACCACATCCCTGAAGCAATGTCGAGCGCCCGGAGAAGTGTCGAAGGAGTGTCGAAGGAGTGTCGGGCTGGTGTCTCCCAGGGCCCGACGCGTGAAAACCCCAGAGTTTCTCTACTTTTTTGGTGCTCGAAATTCTGTCCAGTGATCAAGGCTAAAATTGGTTGGAGCATCATAAGCCGACACTCGTGCCGCAGGCATCTGTTGATGCTCCCCCCGCGACGGTCAAAGCTGGCGGTGGGTTTCCGAGTCGCACTTCGACCGCAGTCGCCCCCGCGCGGTCCAACCTTGAACTTTCGGGAGAGGGGGAGTGTCCACTCCTTGTTTCACTCTACGCGCCATCGCTCGGACGTCCGTTCCCTGTGCTTTTTTGTCGGTCTCGTGCGTGGCTTCTTCGCCAAATGATCAAGGATGCTCCTCGATGGTCCTCGCCGAAGGAAAAAGTGCACACGTCCGAGCGCTGCCAAGTCTGCCGCATCCGCGCCCTCGCGGCCTGGATCCCTCGGCGCGCTCCCGTGGACCCGCGGTCGCACGAAGGCGCCCCACGCGGGGCCATCCGCGAGGAAGCGCTCCGCATCCGCGGGGTCGAGGCCCTTGGGCCCTGCCTGCGAGGCCGTGGACATGATCTGGCCATCGCTCGGACGTCCATTCCCTGTGTTTTTGTCGGTTTCGTGCGTGGTTTTTTCGCCAAGTGATCAAGGATGCTCCTCGATGGTCCTCGCCGAGGGCAAAATGCACACGTCCGAGCGATGCCAGGTGATTAGCCGCTGTCTGTCCAAGATCGGTGGCCACGCGCAGTCGCGACCACACCTCGCGGCCCCGCCCCTGTGCGGGACTTCTCGAGCCGCATCTGTCTGGGAGGGCCCTGGCCCTGGGGAGCGGGTTCGACAGGCTCCTGGGTGGCAGGGCCTCCTTCTCAACCCTCCCGCCCCTATCCTTCTTCCCCACCGACGCCCTTGGACCATCAGGTCCGGGCCGCAGCCTCCCTCCTCCCTCCCCTCCTCTCGCCCCCCCCCGCCGTTCCCTCCCCACTCAAGGGACGTGAAGGAGGAGGAGGAGGAGGAGGAGGAGGGGGAGGAGGAGGAGGAGGAGGAGGGGGAGGAGAGGAGGAAAACCTGCTGCCCCACCCATCTTTCAGCCCCACGCAGGTGGCACGCCACATTCAGGCCTGTGTGCATTTGTGCTCGCGATAGCCTCCGCACTGAGACACGCTCACCCCCCCTTCAATCCACCCATCCCGTCCCCCGTCTGCCTCCTCCCATCTCCACCTTTGAGCAGGGACCGACCGTCCCGGCATTCCTGTAGTCCTACCAGGACATGTTGCTCGAACCCAAAAAAAACGTTCGAAGAACAATGCCAATGTTCTTAGAACATTAACCCGATGTGTTAAACCAAGACAAGCTCAATCAGACATGTTCTGAGAACATTTCGTGGAAACCACAAAAGGTTCGTAGAACACTGTTTCGTAGGGCTATAGGCGAGCCAGGACGCTTCGCCACTGCTTGACACCTGTCTCCTCTTCCCCAGGCGCGCGTCCTCCCCCGCGGGGGCCAAGTTGGCAACCCAGTGCTGCCCGGCCGCTCCCCTCGGCAGGAAGGTGGTGGCGAACATGAGCTGCGGCGGCTGCTGCTGCGCGGGAGTTCTCCCCAGAGGGGAGCCTCTCTTTTGCGCTGCGCTGACTTGGCCCAGCGGAAGCGCAACGTCTGAGGACGTCGAACAGAGGAAAAAAGCACTTCAGCTCGACGCGCGCCAGGGAGGCGTGTCTCCTGCTTCTCTTACTCCACTACTCTTCCTCAGGGTTGCCCACAAGTAAATGGCATTGTCGCCGCGAATGTTCATAGTCTAACTGTCGTCAAGGCGCTCATGACCGTGTTTATTGTATATTTATACATACCTACATCGCGTTATGTTCAATGGCTGCATCCCCACTGTAGTGCAACTTCATCGTGTTCGCGTTTTCGGCCTGCTGCTGACCTGGGCATCCAAAGATTTGGTATACTCAAAATCTTCCGATCCAGTATGCAAGCACGTGTCTCGGGTGAGATGGTCGACGAGACTGGGAAGAGGGGGGTGAGGATGAAACGGGGATAAAGTGAGCGAAATACATGACGCATAGCATAACGAGAAATACGCACTTTGATGCTCGAAGATGTAGTCTGTTCTGCGTTGAAAACGCCACTGTCGACGCAATGCGTGGTACATCGGAAAAAAAACCCTGCCAAACGCCTCCGCCTTGACAGATTTCCCATGGCCGTCCTCAATGCTGCCATACCAACGTTTAGACACACTGTGACAGAATTCGCCGGCCCAACGGGCCAGAGGCGTGCTATGATATCTGGTAACAGGTAGACAATATTTCAACTTCGCGCGTTCGGGGCGCCCCCTGGGGCCCCGCTGCGAAAAATACCCTGGCAAGGATACCAGACCTCCCCGAGGCGGTTTTCAGGGCCTCCCAGAGCGTACCAAGAGAGTCGAACGTGTCCTTCTCGTTGGAAGTGCGTCGTTTGATCGGTTTCAAGGCCTCTAAGAGCGTTCTAGGAGTCGAACGCGTCCTTCTCGTTCGAAGTGCATCGTTTGAGAAGCATGGGATGCAACATTCAAATGTAGGATCGAAGACGGAAATATTTCTCCGCAAATGCCGAACACAGGGTGTCCGGACATATAAGGCGCGCGTGCCTTTCGGAACCCGACCCCAAACGGCGGCAAGATGATACTACACATATAGGCCTATCCTGAAACCACCTGGTATGGCTCCCTAGGAGACAGAGATAAGCGCCTGCTGATAGCAATGACGAACTGAGACTGCTGACATCAATAATGTAAAATGCGACGGGCAAAGAGGCCCGTGCGCGCAATGCAAATGACAACATGATCTGAAGACTTACGCGAAGGGCGACATGATAATGTTATGCAAAGCGCCGCTTCCAAAGGAAGCAGTGAGAGGAAGGCGCCCCGTGATCATGGAACACAACGTTCCTCCTCAGCCAACGTCGCGACCAACACCACGGTTACATTGGCTGCCAATGGTGGGAACAACGTCACCGATAGTAAAACATGTTGGAACATTACAATTTTCGGGTTTGTTCTTGGTGAACGTATAGGGGCCGTTCTTGCCGCCGCCGTCCCCCTCGGCGACCGAAGGGGCGGCGGTGATCTATCCGACCGCCCGGCTTGAGCGAGCGAGCTCGATCTGCCGATGCTTGGGCTCTCGGAGCTCCGTTGGCTTTGGCGACTGCCGTCGGGTGAGTGATCGCCTCGCTGCCAGCTGGTTGTGCCTTTTGTTGTTGTTTCTGTCTTTCTCCTCTCTCTCTGTCTCTCTCTCCTTCTTCCCTCTCTCTCTCTCTTTCTCCTTCTTCTGCTCTCTCTATTTCTCCTTCTTCTTCTCTCTCTCTCTCTCTTTCTCCTTCTTCCCTCTCTCTGTCTCTCTCTCTCTCTCTCTTTCTGCTGTCTGTCTGTCTGTCAGTCTCTCTCTCTCTCTCTCTCTCTCTTTCTTCCCTGGCCAGAGGCTTCTGGGAAGCACCCGGGGTCGCCGCCCAATGACGCCGCGACGCGGCGATATGCCGTCGCGGAAAGCGAGGGCACCGCACGCCAACAGCATCTCCACCAAGAGGCGCATGAAGTCCAGTGGGGGTATCATGTATGTTCAAGTCATCTTCCATGAGGTATAACGTCGTGATCGTGCCTCTGATGTCGAGCCGCGCCCCTGTCGCGGTCGCGCGTTGGCCTGGCGGTCGCGCTCAAAGGTCAGCGCGCGCACGTGTAAGAGCGCGACTGGCGATGCGATTGTTCAGCGCACCTTTAATAGTAGTAGTAGTAGTAGTAGTAGTAGTAGTAGTAGTAGTAGTAGTAGTAGTAGTAGTAGTAGTAGTAGTAGTAGTAGTAGTAGTAGTAGTAGTAGTAGTAGTAGTAGTAGTAGTAGTAGTAGTAGTAGTAGTAGTAGTAGTAGTAGTAGTAGTAGTAGTAGTAGTAGTAGTAGTAGTAGTAGTAGTAGTAGTAGTAGTAGTAGTAGTAGTAGTAGTAGTAGTAGTAGTAGTAGTAATAGTAGTAGTAGCAGCAGCAGCAGTAGTAGTAGTAGTAGTAGTAGTAGTGGTGGTGGTGGTGGTGGTAGTAGTAGTAGTAGTGGTAGTAGTAGTAGTAGTAGTAGTAGTAGTAGTAGTAGTAGTAGTAGCTTCGTCTGAGTAAGCACGCTTGCAGGGCCGCGGATGGCGACCCAGCCCTGCCGATGCGTCGTGGGATTTTCTTGTATGCAAATGTTTTGTACGAATGAGGGGAAAACAAACCTACCTCGCTTTTGACCACCCTCGCTTCCAAGAGATACCAAGCGATGCCAGATTGCAGCCTGTACTGGTCAGGCCGCTTGACGAGGAGGCGCGTGGTATGGCTTGGTTTTGCCTGGAAGCGAAAGCGGGGTAAGTAATTCACGCTCTGAATGAAACCTGTTGGCCATCGCCAAACAACGTGCGCCGATGTGTCACGTGGCAAACAATCATCTTCCTATGAAGCAGCCGGTCACGTTCTGCTGCTTCACGAAATGCCTCTGGCGAACTTGCTGAGCAAATGGTCGACTTGCCTGGCCTTTTCCCAGCCGCTGTAGCTGCGCGCGTCGCACATTTCGCTCATCGCATTAACTCGTCCATTGTCCAATCCAAAGTTTTCAAGGGTAAGTCACATCTGTAGTTCCTTCGCGTGGTGCCAACTCGAGTGAATATATCGGTGAGCTTACCTGAACGCTGAAGCTGGTCCAGTCAAGAGGTCGCGGAGAAGCCAAGCCAATGCTGACTCTTGGGTTTCGCCGGGCTCGTGATTGATCGTCGTCAGAACGTGGAGGTGGCACGAGGTGGCACGCGCTGGAGCCTGCCACGGTCTGTCACCAGATCCACTGGAGCTGCTGGCTGACCCGTTTCCGGGTTCGCCTGCTGTAGGTCTCGTAGATTCATGCCCGCTCGAACCTGCAGTCGCCCCCCTCAGGCGTTCTTGGCCTTGGCGATCTTTGGTGAGCTCCTTAGCGTCCTGATGCGGCTGGCGTTTGGTCCTCTCCAGGCGCTGGCTGGGTCTTCATGTGGTTTCTCGTCGGGGACTATTGGTCGCGTGGGATCGTCATCAAGTGGATGGGCGCATGGCTTAACGAAACAGCGCCTCCCTGGTTCCAGCGCGTGCCCGTGCTTATTCGAACCGTGGTCGCTGCCGCAGGGCGGGCATTTCCAGCCCATCGGTTCGGCGCCACATCGTCTGCATTGCGTAGGGTCTCTGTCATGTTCTGGGTTCGTCCGACGATTGTTGTCAACGCTTGCTGGGCAACCGCATCCAACTGGTGGTACTCACGTCTCGGCTACACGTAACGAGTGGCCCTGGGTAAGAGTGAGCTCTGGCGCGCGGCACTGTGCGCTCCGCAGGGGGACCGAACCCAGGCGCGCAGGCCATTACTACCGCGCCGCGTTGAGCGATCGGGTAACCCCAGCGGGCCTGCGAACCGAGTGACCCTTAGAGTCACTCACTTCGGCGAAGGATCACTCTTACGTGTGGTCGGGCGTCTCGGCCTGTGACACGTATTGCGCTAAGTCACCTGGTCCTGAACCCCGCCTGGTAGTTAGAATCGGTTGCGTTTTTCTGGTGTCGGTGACCTGTCTCATTGGCTGCTGGGGCCGCGCCTGCGATGGCGTATGCGCCTGGTTTAGACAGCCACTTTCGAAAGCTACCTATTGCCGGGCTGTGCTGGAGCGGCGTTAATTACACTTGGGTCCATTGAGTGGTGAAAGAACTGCACGGTTGTTTTCGACCATACGTTTCGGTTGTCTGATGCCGCTGGCGCTGTCGTCCTGCAGCCCAGTTGCGCATTTTTCCGTCTGTACGCATGCGCACGTTTTCTTGAACCGCATAACACGCGTTTACGTGGATGGGTGGGTTCGCTGGGACGTAACGTGGCGCATGTGTGCCCAGCCGCTCGAATGTGTTTTGGACACGGTAATGCCCGCTCTCACCACGCATACTGATGCAGCAACCCTGCGCATGCACCACACCGCCTGTGTACATCACAATGACTGAATGCATGGCAGTGCTCCAGTGCACCACAGCGCCTGTGTACACAACTGCGAACGCGTACGCCGCAACGCCTTTGCACAACACACCTGGAGGCACACGAGCGCACCACAGTTCCTGTGTAAAACACGATGCGCGCGCACGCCGCAGCAGCCGCGCGCATCGCGGCGACTGGCGCCCGCGTGCGCCGCACGGTATATGTGCATCACAAATCCCCCGTGCACTTCGAAGGCCCCGACGTGCGTGCGTGCGTGCGTGCGTGCGTGCGTGCGTGCGTGCGTGCGTGCGTGCGTGCGTGCGTGCGTGCGTGCGTGCGTGCGTGCGTGCGTGCGTGCGTGCGTGCGTGCGTGCGTGCGTGCGTGCGTGCGCGTGCGTGCGTGCGTGCGTGTGTGTGTGTGTGTGTGTGTGTGTGTGTGTGTGTGTGTGTGTGTGTGTGTGTGTGTGTGTGTGTGTGGTGTGTGTGTGTGTGTGTGTGTGTGTGTGTGTGTGTGTGTGGGGGGGGGGCGAGCGTATTACATGGAATGTAAATGTTTGCTGTGGTCATTGTCCTTGGCCGCCAGGAAGCCCTTCTGGCGAGTTCTGCGGGCGGCGTGCGGCCGCGGCGACGCAGACCCTTCCCGACGGGGAGGGCCCTTGGCGCCTCGAGCTCTCACTTTTGTGCCGCGGCTCCGCCCGGGAAGGCCCGAAGGCCCAAGAGGCTCCCAAGAGGGTTCCGACGCGGCTCACTCCTCCTCCTCCTCCTCCTCCTCCTCCTCCTCCTCCTCCTCCTCCTCCTCCTCCTCCTCCTCCTCCTCCTCCTCCTCCTCATGACGGCCCCCAAACCGGCTGGAGGAACGCCCAAGACTGCCCGAGGGGCTCCCAAGAGGTTCCCAAGAGGTTCCCAAGAGGTTCCCAAGAGGGTTCCCAAGAGGGTTCCCAAGACTGGCCCGAGAGGTTCCCAGGAGGGTTCCGACGCGGCTCACGACGGCCCCCAGACGGCCGGAGAAACGCCCAAGACTGCCCGAGGGGCTCCCAAGAGGTTCCCAAGATCAGGGGGGCGTAAGACCTGGGTACAGGGGACTCGGAAATCCCCGACGAGGTCGTCAAAAAAATGACGAGGCCGAGCCTGCATTTTGACGAGGCCTCCCGCTGCAGACATCCCACGAAACTCCTCCTCGTCAAAATCCGAGGCGCGGTCGTCAAAATCTGAGGCGCGGCTCCCAAGAGGTTCCCAAGAGGTTCCCAAGAGGGTTCCCAAGAGGGTTCCCAAGACTGGCCCGAGAGGTTCCCAGGAGGGTTCCGACGCGGCTCGTGGCGGCCCCCAAGACGGCCGGAGAAACGCCCAAGACTGCCCGAGGGGCTCCCAAGAGGTTCCCAAGAGGGTCCCAAGAGAGTTCCCAAGACTGGCCCGAGAGGTTCCCAGGAGGGTTCCGACGCGGCTCGTGGCGGCCCCCAAAACGGCTGGAGAAACGCCCGAGGCTGCCCGAGGGGCTCCCCAGCAGGGGACCACCAACCAGCAGTTCGAGCCTTCCGCCCCGAGACGCCTCCAGGAGGCCCCAGTAGGCGCCCAGCAGGCCCGTCCAGCATAAACTGAAGACCGCGCCCAAGAGGACGCCAAGAGGTTCGAATCCCTCCCTTCGCCTCGTTGCCCCCCCGCATCTGCCCGTCGTCCGCATTGGCCTTCTCGTCCTCGTCCTCATCCTCGTCCTCGTCGTCGTCCTCCTCGTCCTCATCGTCCTCCTCCTCGTCGCCGTCCTCCTCCTTTTCCTCCTCGTTTTTCGTCGGCTCCAGAAACACTGAGGCGGGGGTGTCTGCCACCTCGGGGGGGTTCAAATGAATAAGGCAACAGATGCTAGCTATCATAAACGACTTTATTCGTTCTAGCTTCAACTGGTCCCAATGGCACCTGCGGGGGTAATCCCTTTTCGTGGCACGTGGAATCTGAATGTGCTGGAGCTTGTGTGAAAACGACAGCGAAACAGCGTTCCTGCTGCTTGGGCGCGAACGGGCCCATGCTGACTGCCGACAGCACGCCGAGGGCAGTTTCACCTCTCACAAGCAGGGGCACGCGAAAAGACCAGGAACACAATGATGAGCAAGAGCAATTGTATAAAAACGTACTCCGAGCAAGAATTAAACCCAAGGCAGAGACAATATAAGGATACTGCCAATTGTGTTGGCGGGACGTCGGATGGGAGTTGGGGTGACATCAGAAATAAGAGCAACAACATGATTACAGACAGCAGCCAACATAAACGGCATTGGCAACCGTACGCACAAAAAAACATTAGGAGCAATACGCATAACACAGACACTGTGTTAACACATGCAACTATGGGTCTACGACTTCCGACAATCCATGGCAGTGCGCCGTATGACCAGTATCAATACAACTACTACATGTCAATATAACGCGATGCGTTGCATTTGAACTGCATATGCGACTAACTGAATGGACGACATAGCAAACTACACATCGAACTGACCTGCGATGAAATCCTTCGTTGGGCACTGCATTATACAACTCGGGAACTCCCTGCTTACTCCCTGGATGCGGGTACATTCAATGATCTACTGATCTGCTATAGGATAATTGCGACACAGCCGCGGGACAAACACCACGGATAATACATGGGAACGCCACGGGACGAGACAACCGCACGGGACAATCGCATGGGGCAATCGCGCCTTGCAGATACCCATCTCTTTGTTACACTCCAATGAACCCTCTTGTGGTCACGGGTGCTTATGTAAAACACGATCGCGTAATCAATTGGCCTGAAGACCGGCAGTAGTGGTGGGCCGACGTGAAAGAAACACCACATACAGCTTTACTACGGGCGCTACGAATATCACTCCGCCAAGCCAGCTCGAACGTATCAGCAGGCCCCGCCACAGCCGACCCTTCCTTGCGCGACGCTAGAGCCATTGCTAATCCACCTGGGCAGTGGGACCCGCGTGCTTCCACACAGCCAGCGAATGCGCTCGTTCGCGCCCGGCCTGGTTTCCAACGACCTGGCGATGGAAAAAGCACGCGCAGCGCCCAAGCGGACGCACAACTCTGGGAGAGGACGTGAAACTCAGAGGTAAAACTGTGCTTCGCTCCCCCGTGCGCGGCCCAACATACAACAAGACAGGCGATCGAACATGATCAGCCGCACCCTGACGGGAGCGAGACTTCTGGAAACCCTTCGTGGCGGCTGGGCGAGAACAACACGTCGTTATCTCGCGTGCGGCCCCGCCTCCGACGACCCCCCCAAAAATGGGCCACGCCTCCGCGGGAACGTGCGTTTCGGAAGGCATCTGCGCGGCGCTTAGGCGAGAGCGAGACTTGCAACCCACACATCCGAACCTAATTTGCCAGATGCCAAGAACCATATTGAATTGCCCGGCCGCCAGAACTGCGTCCCTCCCAACAATCCTCGCCCACCAGCCCAATGCTGCAACCCAAATCTCCTCATCCACCCGTTCTGAGCCCAAATATCGTAGCACCCCGCAAGTGCGGATAAGAGTGAGGGGGGCGGGCGCGGGCGACGCGGGCGTCGAGCCGGCGGACCTCGTGGCCCTCACGAATGCAAGAAAACCTGGGGTTAATGCAAAGGAAGCCCGCCGCAGGCGCCGAACATTTTGGATGGGTTGCGGGATGGATCGCGAATGGGTCGCGGGTGGGTCGCGGTGGGTCGCGGGTGGGTTGCGGGTAGGTCGCGGGTGGGTCGCGGGGTGGGTCGCGGGTGGGTCTCGGGGTGGGTCTCCTGTGGGTCGCCGATGCAAAAGAAACCCGCCGCAGGCGCCGAAATTTTGGCTTGTTCAGTGAACGTAATTTGGGTCGCGGGTGGGTCGCGGGCTCTCCACCTCCACCTGGGGAAAAATCAAAAACAACCCGCCGCAGGCGCCGAAAATAAATATTTGTACACTGAACGCGGTTTGGGTCGAGGGTGGGTCGCACATTCTCCACCTGGAACGACCTGGAACGAATGCAAAAGAAACCCGCCGCGGGCGCCGAAAATTTTGGGTGGGTCGCGGGGTGGGTCGCGGGTGGGTCGCGTTGGGTTGCGGGTGGGTCGCGGGTGGGTCGCGGGATGGGTCGCGTATGGGTCGCGGGCGGGTCACGGGGTGGGTCGCGGGTGGGTCGCGGGTCGGTCGCGGGCGGGTCGCGGGGCGGGTCGCGGGTGGGTCGCGGGGTGGGTCGCGGGCGGGTCGCGGGTGGGTCTCGGGGCGAGTCGCCCGTGGGTCGCGGGGCGGGTCGCGGGTGGGGCGACGACAACAAACAACAACAACAACAACAACAACAACAACAACAACAACAACAACAACAACAACAACAACAACAACAACAACAATCATTTTACCCGAACGCGTGGTGTTCTCCCCAGTGCCAGGGTTTTCATACGACACCAGGCAATACCCCCACTTCGTGGGGGGGCATTACAAGCTCTACCAAATATCCAAACGACTCTTCGCGACCACCCAAACCCAGCTTCCCGCCCTATGACGTTGGGACACTTCACTTCGTGGCGTGCGGACGACCGTGGCTACTACACTGGCGTGGGGTACACACCCACAGAACTTGGTCACTTATTCGGGGCGCGCATGTGCCCAGCATGGTGCAATTGTGCCATACAATACATAATACAGAGAGACAGAGAGAGAGACAGAGAGCAGACAGAGAGAGAGACAGAGAGAGCGGAGTTGGTCACATTTTTGGGTCAAGTTCCTGGGATGATGGGAATACACAACTCTGTTACATTTGATAGTGTGCACGACACACATGAGATGATACGTACTCGCAAGATAGTTGGTCACATTTGTGGAATTCCTGGGCGGATGTGGGGATACACAAATACCTTTGTTACCAGTGCTAGACATGGTACAGACACTGAGAGAGAGAAGGCGAGACAGAGGAAGAGAGCGGGAGAGAGAGAGACAAAGAGAGAGAGACAGAGAGAGAGGAGTTCGTCACATTGGGGCCTCTTGGGGGCTTATTGGGTCCTCACGGCGGGCTCTTGGGGCCTCTTGAAGGCCTCCTGGGGCAACCTATGGCGCAACCAGTAGGGGGACGTTTTATTCTCGGCGGCCGAGGGCGCAACCTATGACGCAACCAATAGGGGGGCGTTTTATTCTCGGCGGCCGAGGGCGCAACATATGGCGCAACCGCAAGGGATTCTGGCCCCTGGCAGGCGCGCGAACCCCGTTGCAAGAGCGTGCGAAAGTAGCTCGCGCGAGCTCATGTAACATAAATGTTGGAAAACCATTGGTTTTTTTAGGATTCGGACAGCGCGCGCGGGTGGAAATTTTGAAAAGTCGTGCAGGTGTTTTTCGAGGACCTACGGTGCGATTCGTGTGATTTTATGATGCGCGGTGCTAAAATTCTTAAGAACCCAATGGTTTTTGGAGATTTCGGCGTGCGCGCGCGAAGAAAAAACGAATGTGTCCCGCATGGTATTATTTGACAGGGATGATGGCCCTGGCAGGTGCGCAACCGTTGTCGCAGAAGTTCGAAAAAGTTGCTCGCAAAAGCCCGTTTGACAGAAATGTTTAAAAAGTGTTGGGTTTCCTACGAATCCGCAAGAGCGCGCGGGATGAGATTTTGACATTTTTTTGTTGAAAAACCATTGGTTTTTTGATGTTTTTATGTTAAAATCGCTCCGAACACTAAGCTTTTGGAAGGATTTCGTCTTGCGCGCGCGAATGTCCACTTTACCTTATTTTTTGCAAGGGATTCTTGAAATTTGATTATATTAGAACAAGAAATGTCATTTTATAGTGTTTTTTGCAAGGGAAAGCGGGATTACAACAAAACAACCGGATCTTGATCACATCGAATTACCTGAGGCTTCCTCACGAAAATGATGAAAATGTAGCTGCGGCCTAGGCGGCGCAGGGGGGGCGTGCACCAGGGGGCCCAACAATAATTATTCTTTAGAATTAATAATGTTCAACAACAACAACAACAACAACAACAACAACAACAACAACAACAACAACAACAACAACAACAACAACAACAACAATTACTAGCACGTGGGGACACTCCGTTCTCACCAGTGCCAGGGTTTTCATAGGAGGCGGGCAATACCCCCACTTTGTGGGGGGGCCGGTTCAAGCTCTACCAAATTTCCAAACGACTCTTCGCCACCACCCACACCCAGCTTCCCGCCCTATGACGTTCGGACACTTCACTTCGTGGCCTGCGGACGACCGTGGCTACTACACTGGCGCATGGGTACAGTGACTTGTTGTGGTAACATTTTCTGGGCGCTAGCTTAGTATACGAGTTTTCCCCCTGTTCCAACACTGGACACCTGTGGTTTTTGAAGATTTCGGCGTGCGCGCGCGAAGAAAAAACGAATGTGTCCCGCATGGTATTATTTGACAGGGATGATGGCCCTGGAAGGTGCGCAACCGTTGTTGCAGAAGTTCGAAGCACGTGAAAAAGTTGCTCGCAAAAACCCGTTTGACAGAAATGTTGAAAAAGGACTGGGTTTCCTAAGAAATCCGCAAGAGCGCGCGGGATGAATTTTTGAAACTTTTTTTTTGAAAAACCATTGGGTTTTCATGTTTTTATGTTAAAATCGCTACGAAAATCAAGGTTTTGGAAGGATTTCGTCTTGCGCGCGCGAGTGTGCACTTCGTGTCATTTTTTTGCAAAGGATTCTTGAAGTTTGGTTATGTTAGAACAAGACATGTCATTTTATATTGTTTTTTGACAGGGAAAGCGGGCGTCAACAAAACAACCGGATCCGGACTCCCCCGTTTTGCCTGAGACTTCCTCACGAAAATGATAAAAATGTGGCTGCGGCCTAGGCGCGGCGAGGGGGGCGTGCACCAGGGGGCCCAACAATAATTATTCTTTAGAAGTAATAATATTCAACAATAACAACAATAACAACAATAACAACAACAACAATAACAACAATAACAACAATAACAACAACAACAACAGCAACAACAACAACCATCATTTTAAGACTGTTCGCTTTTATCTGCTCGCGTGTCACTCAATATGCATATCCCAAACCCTGGATGCCCGCCCTCTTCGTCTTCGATCG